CGCGCGCGGCCGGTCCGCAGGTGTTGCCGAGGTCGAGTCGGTCGAGTCGGTCGAGTGTCGAGCCGGTAGGTAGAGCAGCTGAAGACGACGGCCGGTGGCGCGTCGGCCACCGGCATCCGCCCTGGAGGGGCGGTTGTCCCCCGTTTGGCTGGCTCGGGCGCTGTCCACGCACCGAGTCGGAGCGAGGCCCCACGGCCCACACCGTCCACCACTTGAAGGCGGGGGACTCCAGACGGCTCAGGGCAGGTCGCGACCGTGGGTGTTGGATGCCAGCCAAGACAAGAAGCGATGCTGCATGCGCTCGAGCCGCGCCAGATGTGTTACTGCTGCGCCACTCCACACAACGCTGCCATACTCAGCAATGGAGCGAACATGGGCATTGTACGCGGCGATCAGCGCACTATGGTCAAACTTGACCCGCCGGGGACACCGAGGCAGTTGGACACCTCGCATAATCATCCCCAACATTTTCTTGCATGGCACGGTCACATCGACATGCTGAGCAAACGTAAGCTTCGCGTCCAATATAACACCCAGATCACGCACCTCATGACAGCGAGTAAGCTCATGACTATCCAGTCTGTACACGGCGCGAACAGGAGATGACTTGAGTGTAAATGTTATACACTGACATTTGCTCGGGTTGAGTTTTAGCTTCCAGGTTTTAGCCCAGCCACATAGTCGGTCTATATCCCTCTGTAGGACGGCAACATCTTCAGTAGATTCTACGCGGTGAAAGAGCTTTACATCATCGGCATATAACAGACAATCAGTTTCGATGCACTTTGGGATGTCAGCAACATAACACAAAAACATTAGGGGGCCCAAAATGCTGCCCTCTGGCACGCCCGACCGCACAGCGGTCCACATGGAGTGCTTGCCATTCAGGACGACACGCTGCATGCGATCACTGAGGTAGGACGTCAGCCAGGTGTGAGCGAGGCCAGTGATTTGAAAAGAATAGCGGAGTTTGTGAAGGAGCAAGGTGTGGTTGACAGACGTGAATGCAGACGAAAAGTCTGTGTAAATGGCGTCGGTTTGTTTGCCTTTGGAAATGGAGGACCAGCAGTGGTTAAGGAAGCAGGAGAGGTTGGTGACGCATCAGCGGCCAGGCAGGAAACCGTGCTGATTGGGAGGAATGGCTGGCAAACACGCTGGCAGAAGGTTCTCAAATACAACTCTTTCCAGAATTTTTGAGCAGATAGGCAGCAATGACACCGGCCGATAATTTTCTGGATTTTTCTTAGAGCCCTTCTTGTGAACACTCACAACGTTAGCCCTCCTCCAGTACAATGGAAACGACCCTCGCGACACAGACATTTCGCACAATATTTCAATGGGAACAGCCAGCTCATCAGCACATTCTCGCAGCATGCGCGCACTGAGACCGTCCGGGCCGCAGACCTTGTGCGGACTCAGCTCTCTCAGTAGCTGCGCGACCCGGCCGTGCGGCACCGCAAACCGGTCAATGCCAGGGGCACTGAGCTCGGGCGCTGCCGGCAACGCCTCTACCGCCGGGTTGCTAAATTTACGGGCAAAGCACGCATTCAAGCAGTTGGCACGCTCAACATCGCTGCGGAGAGCGCGGCCACCGAATTCCAGGACGGGTGAAACGTGCGTGGATGATTTAATGGCTTTGATAAAAGACCAATAACGTTTCGGATTGTCTTTAAAATCACGAAAGATAATCGCGGTACTTGCTAGCTGCTTGACGTTTGAACGCGGCCCTGACAGTGGAAAAACGTCCTAAATTTTCAGCAGACGGATCGGCCTTTTTACGACGGTGGGCTGCTTCCTTCTCTCGGAGAAGGTTCCTGACCGAATTAATGAAATTTGGGACATCTAATGTTTTGACAGAGCCCCATAACATATATTCTGTTTTTGGTAATTCTCAAAATTTTGGATTTTATCCCGCGCACCGACGGGGGTCTGCGCCAACTTCGCACCGACGGGGGGGGGGGCGGATGACCGCCCCCCCCCCTGAGATCTCGAGAACGAAGCAAGATAGCGACAAGCGGTAAACGGCATCGGATACGCACGGCCAAGATCTACAATTTTTAAAAAGGTCATTTTCAGGTCAGGTCAAAGATGACGTCACAGGGGTCGAAAAAGTCAAAATGGCGGCGCTAGATATGGAGAGAGTTTTTCTCGAATAACTTTCGAATTAGTCAAGATAGGAACAAACTAAGGGCATCATCGTGATCCTCTCGTCAATCCGCATCGAATGATATATATGTTGACCTCGAAAGGTCAAGGTCAAAGGTTGACCTCAGGTCACGTGACCTCGAGGTCATCATGTATATCATTCGATGCGTCTTGACGAGCTGAACACAATGAGACCATCCATGCGTCTGTATCTTGTTCCTGTTTGTTCCTGTACCGAGGTATTGGCCAAAAACCTTTGGTGACCTTTGATGACGTCACATGACCTCAGAGCTGCCAAACAGCAAAACAGACCTCAAGGTAGTGAAGGTTGATCGTATATGAAGTCATGTATGGTATATGGGGCCATTCCGACCCGTTTTAGTGGTAAAAACAGGGAGTTGATTTTTCCCCCATTGACTTATAATAGGGAGGTCGCGAAATTGACCTGACCTTAGGTCACCGATATCAAAATTCCGAGATATACAAATTGTAGCTACTAATGACCTAATAATATCCTGCGACTTTCAAAGGCCTCCGACATCTATTGTAGCTCTGGCACGATGCCAAAGTTGCAAAAAAGTGACTTGAGGTTGGGTCATTCAAAGTGACCTGGTGACCTAACCTTAAAAGGTAGGAGGTTCAAACTTGCACACCATGTGTAAAATTGATGAGGTTATAGTCATACCAAATTTCGTGGCGCTACACGCCGCGGTTTTCCCGCTATTCGCGAAAAACCTCAGGGGGGCGGATATCCGCCCCCCCCCCGTCGTTGCGCGGGTTATTAGCTGTTTTCCAAAAAATATAGTTTTTTGAATTTTTTAGGGGTAAAAACACATTTTATGGAAAATCCGAAATAGCCGTTTTAAAGAACTTGTTAAACTGCGTCTATTTGTGTCCTTACTTTGCAATTTGCTTTAAACCTTGTTTTTTTTGGCGATTTTTTTTTAAAATATTTACCACTTTTTGACTGAAAACGCCATGTAGTTACATCACTAAAATCGATATATCTCAAAAAGTTTTGGAAAAATTTTCTTACAAATTACACAGGAGACGCCAAATTGAAGGCGGAGGAGGTATGCCAAGTTTAAAGTTAATAGCGTACCTAAGCGGTTCATGAGTTATTCGAGAAAAAAACGGAGGAGGGGGTCGGATCCGACCCCCCTCCCCCAGGCGGTCGCGGGTTAAAAAATGTTGTAATTATGTTCCTGGTGATCAGCCGAATCGAATGATTTGCGATATGATGCAATTTGGGTAACTTGAACTTAATTCATTAATTAAAGTTTACTTAAAAATTAAGAAAAAAACTTTAAGTACACTTAACCCGCGCCCCAGTGGCGGTCTCAGCCAACTTCGCCCTAGTGGGGGGGGGGGGCATATGTTACCACCCATCTCTAACTCAAAAACTAAGAGGGCTAGAAAGACGCGGTAAAAAGCAGTCGATAGCTCTCAATGCGTACGTTTGAAAGTATATCAGTCATTTTTCACCTTAGGGCAATATTGATGTCACCAGAGGTCATCAAAGGTCAAAATTTGCCAATTGTCATTATATTTTTTTTCAGAAAACATGCCGCTATCTCAGGAACTATGGTAGCTAGAAACACGCATGGAACAGCAAACGATAGCTTTTGAACTCTTCTTTTGAAAAGATCATTATCAATATTGACCTCAGGTCAACTGTTTAGCCTCCAGAGGGCAAAAACTCCAAAAATAGCTGTTTTTACGAAAAATGTTTTTCGACAATAACTTTCGACTACAAAAAGCCACGACATTTCTATTGCCAGAATCGTGTTCCTCTCGCCGAGACGCGTCGAATGGACTATAATTTGACCTTGAAAGGTCAACTTGAAAATTTGACCTCAGGTCAAGGTCATGACCTGACCGGAAAAGGTCATGTTGCATATCACTCGATGCGTCTCAACAAGACAAACACAATGAGACCGTCCCCTGCGTTCTATCTCTTTCCAATCGCGAGTTATTGGCAAAAAACTGTTTGTAGCCTCAAGTGACCTCGGATGAGCTGTCTAGAGGCAAAAATCAGCAAAAATGACACCTTGGTCTTCACGAGTGGACTAAATCATTGTGATTCTGAAATATTTGGACTGTTCCGATGCGTGCACACGGATCTAGAGGCATTTTCATTTTTCTCCATTGACTTGTAATGGAAAGGTCACGCCACTGACCTGACCTTAGGTCACGGATATAAAAAATCCGAGATATACAAATTGTAGGCGCCCATAACAGCATACAATCCACCAAGTTTAAAACCTTTCTGACAAACACTGCAGGCTGGACATGATTGCAAACTTTTTTAGGCTTGGTCAGTTAACTTGACCTGGTGACCTGACCTGACATGACCTGGGGTCAAAAATTTCACACATTGTCCAAAATTGATGTACCAAAAGCTACCCCAAGCGGCGCGGCGCTACGCGCCGTGGTTTTTTATTCACACGCAAAAAACGCGACAGGGTGGTAACATATGCCCCCCCCCCACACTGGGGCGAAGGTTAAGCAAGCAAAAAAGTATATCATTCGACGCGCCTTGACGTGCTGAGTTCACTGGTGCTTTTCTTTTTTCTGTTTCTTATTTAGATCAAAAGTTATAAGCAAAAAACTTTTGACCTGTTTTCAGCGAAATTTTTACATTAATACCTCCCAAAACCCCCTAAATATTGACATAGAGCAAACAAATTTGTACAGGGGCGAGAATTCCAAAAGTTCACCTACCTACCAAAGTTGGTGTTTCTAAGTGTCATAGGAGCCAATCGCGAGGGGGGTTCGCATCAACCCTCCCCCCTACCAGGCCATGTTATGAAAAATGCCCTGCCAGAGAGAGGGTTAACATTGCTGTAACTTACCACGCCTTTTCAGCTCGACTGTTCATCTTCATGTCCCGTGCAGTTTTGAAAAATGGATGACTTCCTTTGGAGAGGACGTAGAAGAAGACCAAGCCGAGGGCAAACACGTCCGCTGCACCAGGCTGAAAAAAAAAACAAACTGCCTCTTAAAAAATGGGTGAAACTTATAAAATGTTAGCCGTACTCCATGCACCCCATGATATTGGCCAAGGCACCCCGATACCATGTACATCTATTGGCTAAACAGTGCCTTTCCAAGCATGGTTAGGGGAAGCGGGGTCAACCCTGCCATGTGGGGAACCCCGCTATACCCCATATTGGCAAGATAAACTAACCAATGCCATCGGCGTCATTTTTTTTGTCACCACACTACGCACGACGCGGGGGAAGCGGAGATGTGACACATCAAATGAGTTTAACCCTCGCCCGCACAAGCCATTCTCCCATCCTAAAACGCACATGGGGGGTTGCCAGTTGCCACCCCCCGCGCTATTTCGTTCCTGCTAGTCAAAATAGTTTTGGCTGTACCTTTTGATCTAATAAAGAAAGAGACGTGGAACAGGCACCATTGTGTTTGCTTTGGCCTCGCGCCAGTTCGCTTTGAATTTCGATATCGATGACCTAAGGTCAGGTCAATTTCTTGAAAATCCCATTAAAAGTCAATTGGGGAAAAATCGGCTCGCTTACTTTTAACCCGCGCCCCGTTGGGCTCTGCCGAGCAACGCGCCCTGTTGGGGGGGGGGGGGGTATTTTGGCACCCCTAAGATCTCGAGAACCACGCAACTTAGCGACAAGCGGCAAATGGTGTTGGATAGCCCTATCAGGAAACTACCTCGTGACCCAATTTTTTGACCTAGGTCAAACCGATGACGTCACAGGTCAGGTCAAAGTTCGAATTTTCACCGTTTACAGGCATTTCAAGAAATGCGTTGTACAATCGAGTAAAATGCATTTCTTTGAAAATCATCGATTGGAAGGGATCCGATTTGGACAGCTAGTCGATCTTGCTAGAACAACTTTGGGCTCTGATCGTCACTGCCAAGCTTGTTTATACATTTTCCAATGTCCGAGCTTCTGAAGAATGCACTGAAAAGGCTTAGGGCTTCGTGATGATCAAAGCAAAAAGGGCTTACCTATTATTACCGTCATAGGCGGCGGAACGGGGAGGGCACCGGGGCACCGTGCCCCCCTTTGATTTTGGCATTTTAATATTAGCCCTATGGGCGTTGCATGGAAAGAATGGGACCAAAAGTTGTTTTTTTATTTAGCACTGCCACCGTCGTGTCTGTCTGTATTCTGTCATGGGAAGACGCTGCCGATGTCGTTTGTCACGGGTAGAAGTACAAATCCACGCCCCAGTGTGGCTGCTCGGTCGCACTTCTCCTGGCCTGCACCTCCCCAGCCAGGCTGGCTTTCCCCGGCACAGCCGTTGCCTCAGTGCCTGGGGCGGTGACCCCTTCAAAGAGGCTCACAATACGTATGGTGCCGTGGCTCTCAAACCAACACAGAACAGTGAAACGCACAGGCTCACTTTCCATATAAGGCGAACAGCGGATTCTGGCGCTGGCGTTTCACTCATGCTAAGACGCCCAATCACAGCGCCGCATTTCAGTTAGTATTTATTTATATTTATTTAACATCATTCGGTCACTCCACAGTAAAATGGCGCTATTATCTTAACTTTGTCAAAACGTACATGATTGTGCGCATAAAACATGGCATGACATGAACGAGGTGCAGCTAAAACGACGCTAAAAATATACAAAACACCTAATCAGAAACACGATAAAAGGATTGGGCCAGACGATGCAAAACTACGACGCTTCACCCTCGCCCCGTTGGGGGGGGGGGGGCAATTTGCCCCCTGTAGTTTTTCCTTCGATAGGCGTTATCACAAGTGTATTCGCGGCCATTGGGGCGACGTAAGAAAAGAAGAAAACAACTGGCCCCAAGAACTTTAACCCGCGCACCGACGGGGGTCTGCGCCAACTTCGCACCGACGGGGGGGGGGCGGATGACCGCCCCCCCCCCCCTGAGATCTCGAGAACAAAGCAAGATAGCGACAAGCGGTAAACGGCATCGGATACGCACGGACAAGGTCTACAATTTTTACAAAGGTCATTTTCGGGTCAGGTCAAAGATGACGTCACAGGGGTCAAAAAAGTCAAAATGGCGGCGCTAGATATAGAGAGTTTTTCTCGAATAACTTTCGAATTAGGCAAGATAGGAACAAACTAAGGGCATCATCGTGATCCTCTCGTCAATCCGCATCGAATGATATATATGTTGACCTCGAAAGGTCAAGGTCAAAGGTTGACCTCAGGTCACGTGACCTCGAGGTCATCATGTATATCATTCGATGCGTCTTGACGAGCTGAACACAATGAGACCATCCACGCGGCTGTATCTTGTTCCTGTACGGAGTTATTGGCAAAAAACCTTTGGTGACCTTTGATGACGCCACATGACCTTACAGCTGCCCAACAGCAAAAGAGACCTCAAGGTAGTGAAGATTGATCGTATATGAAGTCATGTATGGTATATGGGGCCATTCCGACGCGTTTTAGTGGTAAAAACAGGGAGTTGATTTTTCCCCCATTGACTTATAATGTGGAGGTCGCGAAATTGACCTGACCTTAGGTCACCGACATCAAAATTCCGAGATATACAAATTGTAGATACTAATGACCTAATAACATCCTGCGACTTTCAAAGGCCTCCGACATCTACTGTAGCTCTGGCACGGTGACAAATTTGCAAAAAAGTGACTTGAGGTTTGGTCATTCAAAGTGACCTGGTGACCTGACCTTCAAAGTTAGGAGGTTCAAACTTGCACACCATGTGTAAAATTGATGAGAGAATAGTCGTACCAAGTTTCGCGGCGCGTAGCGCCGCGGTTCTTCCGCTATTCGCGAAAAACCTCAGGGAGGGCGGATATCCGCCCCCCCCCCGTCGGTGCGCGGGTTAAATTATCAGGTAGCATGCACATTTTCCTTGATCTGTAGATAATTAATCATTGATTGCTAGAGAAAATTGCATTTAAAATCTTCCATTTATGTTTTTTTTTCATCGTTTGCACAATATGTTATTTTACTAAGCTAGAAACACAAATTAGAAATAGTTCCCGCATCATCGTCAAGAACAATAGGGAAGGCTTGAAGTGAATACAATAATCTAAACGGTTTTGTAATCTATGTGAAGACACTTCTAAAATTGCCTGTAGAAATATTGAAGGCAAAAGTTCAACTTTTTTACAAGACGGATGTCTATAAACCTATCAAACGTGTCACAATTCAGCCGGTATTTCGTCGCCTACAGCCCAGCTTTCCCTAGTGACCGATAGAGGCGCTGCTATCGATGTTCGCCCGTGCCGCCTAACGTAATAGCAAGAAAACGGCTGCGCGCAGTGCCGCCAAATTTTCAGTACTTTATCGGGCATCAATTTGACACCTCCACACAAAATTTCAAGTCTTAGGTCACCTCAGGTCAGGAGTTATTGAGGTCAAGCTGAGGTCATGTTCGAGCAAAAATGAGCAAAAAAACATGAAATCTTGAAACGCTCACCAAAGCTACAGTTACTTAGCAATTTCAAAGTTCTTTATATGATCATGTAGAAAAAAGACGGCGCTACAGAACTGCTCTCTCGGATTTTCATTTTTTTTTGGAGTTTGACCCTCAAAAATTCAGAAAAAGAAGTTTTTTTAATGTCAAAAAACCAAAACATTTTTAAATTTCGAAAAAGGAATAAAAGTGATAGTCCTCCCGCTCTTTTATCTACATACCAATTTTAAGTTCGATACCTCTATTTTTAGGCAAGATATAGCGAAAAACTTCAAAATTGATGACGTCATTGTAGCGGGGTTTCGCGGCGTTGCGGGGCTAACCGGGCAGGCGTCTTTCGATAGTGGGAGCTCCGTCGGTGCGCTCCATAAAAGCCCTTCTACGTGTCCAGCCCTTCGCGAACCCGTTCCGACTCGGACTCTATCTTTCCGGGGCGATCAATCATCGGAAACACATAGGCCAGGGTTAAGGAATGGGAGGAGGGATAAATAATAACCCATTATCCTTGATCACGTTGACATAAGAACTCAACTTTACATAACCCAAGGTCCCACTCGCAGACAACAGCGCCCTTCCTAGCTTGAGGGTCATCTCCCACCAGATATATGTATCAATCATTCGTCCATTTATCCATCCCCTTACAACCATGTCATTCGTCCACTTATACCTCGTAATTTACCAGAGTTGACCATCTCCGGTCCCTCCCCTTTTTCCTAACTTCCCCCGGTGGTGCTAGGGCGCGCGCGAAGTCGTTATCGAGTCATTGGCCTTAAATGTCATTTAACCGTTATCCCTTCATAACCACAATGTTCCGTACATCAGACAAACGCTTCATAATGCTCACGCTACACAATTAGAGATACGACCCACCACATATTTCGGCACTCGACCTTCGCGTTACGTGACTTATTGCGGTCCGTCCCATCACCATGTCGAACTACCTACACACAAAAAAAAAACATAAATGTCTTCGGCCAGCGGTTCCGAGACTACGGCTCGCAGGGCACTGTGTAGTCCGGTTTCCGCGGGGGACTTATTTGAAATTTGAGACCGGGGCTGGGTAACTAAGGTCCGTCCGGGCTGCCTGCGTCGTCTCCGTATAGCCGCGGTTTTCGGGCCAGCCCCCGGCGACCGAAAAGGGTTAGTCGTTCGTCGGCTTTACACGAATCCATGACTACCAGTTTATGCCAAATTGCCTATAATAAAACGAAAACTAAGCGTACCACGGCCCGCAATGGGCTTATCTAAATTTGAAACCGGGCTGGGTAACTAGGTCCGTCCGGGCTGCCTGCATCGTCTCCGTATAGCCACGGCTTTTGAAACAGCACCGGCGACCGAACGGGTTAGCCTCCGTTGGCTTCACACAATCCACGACTACCAGCGTTATAGGTGCCCGAAGCCCTATCTATCCGTTGCTGGTAGTTAAGCTGTCGTCACAGACCTATCCGAAATGACCGCTGCACGGCCGGAGTTAATCGACTGACAGCGGGGTGGCCAGTACCGACTTACCGCGATCACCCGACTCGCATGCTTTGGTATTTAATGTTCACCCCCGTCCTGC